TGTCCTCAGTGGCATTGCCCTGGCCCTGTTTTAACTCACACAAATGTGGTGAGAGAAACCCTGCCATCTCTGCGCGTTTCCCGCACCGCATTGCAATCATACTGTGTTTTGTAGTCTGCTGCTGGTATCATTTCAAAGTTAACAACATCCCAAAAGAAGGTCGCAAATGCAGGGTTTGCCTTATGGCATGATTGTTTTTCCAGTGCGGCTCAAAAAAACGTGCCTGCACTTCTTTGGTGATATGTGGAGTGATTTGAGTCCATTCAAAATGAATAGGCTCAAATCTCACCACACAGAATTGCATGTGAATTGCACAGGAATGCAATATGGTTCCTGTGCGATTCACATGCAAACTATAGTGTGAACCCAGGCTTATTGTCTTGATTGTGGTGTAATTTGGGCCCATTCCATTTGAATGGGGCACAATCACAGATGGGGTGCTGCTTTTGCGTGAGTTGATGGAGTGCTAAGACACAATTAAACACAGCAGTCTAATTCATGCCTTCTCTGCTTTTCACAGGTAATGCTGCTATCTCCTCTCCACTCCACTCTTAACTACAACAAGGCATAGACTGCTGCTATTTCTGGATCACCTCATGGGGGGAATCACAGATGGGGGGACAATCACAGATGGGGTGCTGCATTTGCGTGAGTGCTTCATTGATGGCGTGCTAAGAGGCAGTTAAACAAAGCAGTTTAACTAAAGCAGGATAACTCAAGCAGCAGGAAGATTACAACAGCAAGAAACTCTACGTGCAGTTGGACAGTCTGCAAGCAAACACCCTAGGAAACATCTCTTACAAGTCAGAGTCCCATTCTGTGTACCTTTTTAATATGTCCCCTCTACTCCTCCTTTTCATATTACTTTCCTGCATTCCCAAAATCTCACTTCTTTACCCCTCTGCTCCACCCCAAAACTTGTACACCCTCACTGCTATCATCTCCCTACTACTGCTCTCATCACCTCCTGCTGATACTTCACTCTCCTGCTGACCCAAACACCAGGACTGGAAGGCATGTGCACTCGTGTACATCCCGCTCCCAAGTTACTTTCCTCACCCTTCTTCTCCTAACCTCTGGGGATATCTCCCCAAACCCTGGTCCTCCACTATCTCACCCCCACACCAGGCATCCTCTTTCTTCCAGGAATAGCCGCAATCCCCTCAATTTAATATCGGTACCCATGCTCCCAAAAACCACACTCCCTATTTCATGTGCGCTCTGGAATCCCCGCTCTGTCTGTAATAAGCTCACCTCTGTCCATGACTTTTTTGTCTCCTGCTCCCTTAACCTACTAGCAATTACAGAAACCTGGCTTCAAGCAGCAGATTCTGCTTCTCCCGCAGCACTTTCCTATGGAGGCCTCCTCTGGACCCAATCACCAAGACCAAGTGGCCGCAAAGGTGGTGGAGTTGGTTTGCTTCTATCCCCACTCAGCACCTTTCAAGTCCTCCATAACCTTCCCTTTCTATCCTTCTCTTCTTTCGAGACTCACTGCATCCGGCTGTTTTCTCCCATTTCTCTGAGGATTGCAGTGATCTATTGGCCTCCTGGACCGGTGTCCCGCTTTCTTGATGATTTCTCCTCGCCTGGCTACCCTACTCTCTCTCCTCTGAACTACCCACTATCATTCTCAGAGATTTTAACATCCCTATTAATGTCAACAACCCGGCTACATCCCAACTTTTCAACCTAACTTCATCTTTTGCATTAGCACAATGTATATACAGTCCTCCATTCACTCTGATGGGAATACATTAGACCTTGTTTTCTCTCGTCTTTGCACTCCCTACAACCTTACAAACACCCCCTTTCCTCTCTCTGATCACAATCTCATCATCACCTTCACAGTCGCCTCATCTTCAAACACCTATCCCTCCAAGCAGCAAACAATTACCCACAGAAACCTTCACAACTTGAACCCTGCTCCTTTCCACTCTGCAACTGACCAACTCTATGACAGAAACTCTCCTCTGTCCTGCCCTCACCTGGCCACTGCTGTCTATAACAGTTTGCTTTCATCCGCATTAGACTCACTTGATCACGAATGATCTACTAACTGCTAAAACCAATGGCCACTACTCCGTACTCTTACTACTTGACCTCTCTGCAGCTTTTGATACGGTTGACCATCCCCTCCTCAAAAAACTCCACTCTCTTGCCCTCAGAGGCTCTGCTCTCTCCTGGTTCTCATCCTACCTATCGCAGTGCTCCTTCAGTGTTACCTATAACGCTGCCTCCTCCTCTTCACTCCCTCTTTCTGTAGGGGTCCCTCAAGGACCCCTTCTCTTCTCCATCTACACCTTCTCCCTTGGTCACTTGATAAACTCCCATGGCTTTAAGTACCCATCTCTATACTTATGACTAGAGATGAGCGAATTATTCAAAAATTCGATTCGACTGATTTGGCGAATTCGTGAAAAAATTTCGATTTGAGTCGAATATATTCGCTGCGAATTTAACTTATAAAAGGGTGTTTCTAGGCTTCAGAGAGCCTTTATATTAGTGCAGAACACTGTACCTTTAATTTAAATGCCCTTGGAGTCTGCTGGGGAAGAGAAATAATACTGACAGTCAGTATGACATGCAGATGAGTGCCGTCGATCTTAGAATCACCGCACACTTCACTCATTTGGGCAGTCACGGGGCCAAAACCAGAGTGTGGAGCCACAGTGTGGCGGTGGAGGCAGCAGCAATGGGAGGCCATACAGCACCCTATGACAAAAATGGAAACCACCAGCAGTGTGAGGAGACCTGAAAGTGGCACATGGCAGAGTGTGGCGATGGAGACAGCAGCAATGGGAGGCCGTACAGGGACCCATGACACACTCTGGGCCTGGCAGCAGCATGAGGAGCCGGTACAGGGGCCCATGACAGATTACGGGCCTGGCAGCAGCATGAGGAGTTGGTACGGGGGCCCATGGCAGATTTCGGGCCTGGCAGCAGCAATGGGAGGCCGTACAGGGACCCATGACACACTCTGGACCTGGCAGCAGCATGAGGAGGCGGTACAGGGGCCCATGACAGATTACGGGCCTGGCAGCAGCATGAGGAGTCGGTACGGGGGCCCATGACACACTCTGGACCTGGCAGCAGCATGAGGAGGCGGTACAGGGGCGCATGACAGATTACGAGCCTGGCAGCAGCAACTTGGACAGGAGGACGTTCAGCTTCTGCACCGTCAAGTGCGTGCTCGCAAACTGTTGTCTCTTGGAAACGCAGATTTCCAAAAAGACTGCTGACGGAATCTGTGAAGAGGAGTAGCAGGAGAAAGAGCATCTGAACGAGCGGAATATGCCAACAAGCGACAACAGGGGCCCATGACAGATTACGGCCTGGCAGCAGCATGAGGAGTCGGTACGGGGCCCATGGCAGATTACGGGCCTGGCAGCAGCAAATGGGAGGCCCGTAATCTGCCAGCACCCTATGACAAAAAATGGAACACACCAGAGTGTGAGGAGACCTGAAAGTGGCACATGTGACAGAGTGGGCGATGGAGACAGCATTAATGGGAGGCGGTTCAGCGGACCCATGGAGACACTGTGACCTGGCAGCAGCATGAGGAGGCGGTACAGGGGCCCATGGCAGATTAGGCCCTGGCAGCAGCAATGGGAGGCCCGTAATCTGCCAGCACCCTATGACAAAAAATGGAACACACCAGCAGTGTGAGGAGACCTGAAAGTGGCACATGGCATGTGTGGCGAACGGAGACAGCAGCAATGTTACCCGTAGGGACCTGCCTGGCAGCAGCATGAGGAGGCGGTACAGGGCCCATGGCAGATTAGGGCCTGGCAGCAGCTATGGGAGGCCCGTAATCTGCCAGCACCCTATGACAAAAAATGGAACACACCAGCAGTGTGTGAGGAGACCTGAAAGTGGCACATGGCAGAGTGTGGCGATGGAGACAGCAGCAATGGGAGGCCGTACAGGGACCCATGAGAGACTCTGGACCTGGCAGCAGCATGAGGAGGCGGTATAGGGGCCCATGGCAGATTAGGGGCCTGGCAGCAGCTATGGGAGGCCCTAATCTGCCAGCACCCTATGACAAAAAATGGAACACACCACATGTGAGGAGACCTGAAAGTGGCACATGGCATGAGACACTGTGGACCTGCCAGCAGCATGAGGAGGCGGTACAGGGGCCCATGGCAGATTAGGGGCCTGGCAGCAGCTATGGGAGGCCCGTAATCTGCCAGCACCCTATGACAAAAAATGGAACACACCAGCAGTGTGAGGAGACCTGAAAGTGGCACATGGCAGAGTGTGGCGATGGAGACAGCAGCAATGGGAGGCCGTACAGGGACCCATGAGAGACTCTGGACTTGGCAGCAGCATGAGGAGGCGGTATAGGGGCCCATGGCAGATTAGGGGCCTGGCAGCAGCTATGGGAGGCCCGTAATCTGCCAGCACCCTATGACAAAAAATGGAACACACCAGCAGTGTGAGGAGACCTGAAAGTGGCACATGGCATGAGACACTCTGGACCTGGCAGCAGCATGAGGAGGCGGTACAGGGGCCCATGGCAGATTAGGGCCTGGCAGCAGCAATGGGAGGCCCGTAATCTGCCAGCACCCTATGACAAAAAATGGAACACACCAGCAGTGTGAGGAGACCTGAAAGTGGCACATGGCAGAGTGTGGCGATGGAGACAGCAGCAATGGGAGGCCGTACAGGGACCCATGAGAGACTCTGGACCTGGCAGCAGCATGAGGAGGCGGTATAGGGGCCCATGGCAGATTAGGGGCCTGGCAGCAGCTATGGGAGGCCCGTAATCTGCCAGCACCCTATGACAAAAAATGGAACACACCAGCAGTGTGAGGAGACCTGAAAGTGGCACATGGCAGAGTGTGGCGATGAGACAGCAGCAATGGGAGGCCGTACAGGGTGACCCATGAGAGACTCTGGACTTGGCAGCAGCATGAGGAGGCGGTACAGGGGCCCATGGCAGATTAGGGGCCTGGCAGCAGCTATAGGAGGCCCGTAATCTGCCAGCACCCTATGACAAAAAATGGAACACACCAGCAGTGTGAGGAGACCTGAAAGTGGCACATGGCAGAGTGTGGCGATGGAGACAGCAGCAATGGGAGGCCGTACAGGGACCCATGAGAGACTCTGGACCTGGCAGCAGCATGAGGAGCGGTATAGGGGCCCATGGCAGATTAGGGGCCTGGCAGCAGCTATGGGAGGCCCCTAATCTGCCAGCACCCTATGACAAAAAATGGAACACACCAGCAGTGTGAGGAGACCTGAAAGTGGCACATGGCAGGAGACAATGTGGACCTGCCAGCAGCATGAGGAGGCGGAACAGGGGCCCATGCAGATTAGGGGCCTGGCAGCAGCTATGGGAGGCCCGTAATCTGCCAGCACCCTATGACAAAAAATGGAACACACCAGCAGTGTGTGAGGAGACCTGAAAGTGGCACATGGCAGAGTGTGGCGATGGAGACAGCAGCAATGGGAGGCCGTACAGGGACCCATGAGAGACTCTGGACCTGGCAGCAGCATGAGGAGGCGGTATAGGGGCCCATGGCAGATTAGGGGCCTGGCAGCAGCTATGGGGAGGCCCCTAATCTGCCAGCACCCTATGACAAAAAATGGAACACACCAGCAGTGTGAGGAGACCTGAAAGTGGCACATGGCATGAGACACTGTGGACCTGCCAGCAGCATGAGGAGGTGGCGGTACAGGGGCCCATGGCAGATTAAGGGCCTGGCAGCAGCTATGGGAGGCCCGTAATCTGCCAGCACCCTATGACAAAAAATGGAACACACACCAGCAGTGTGTGAGGAGACCCTGAAAGTGGCACATGGCAGAGTGTGGCGATGGAGCACAGCAGTGTCATGGGAGGCCGTACAGGGACCCATGAGAGACTCTGACTTGGCAGCTGCATGAGGAGGCGGTATAGGGGCCCATGGCAGATTAGGGGCCTGGCAGCAGCAATGGAGGCCCGTAATCTGCCAGCACCCTATGACAAAAAATGGAACACACCAGCAGTGTGTGAGAGACCTGAAAGTGGCACATGTTTGGGGCATGATTCATGGCGGATTTAGTCAGTTGTGTCAGGAACTGGTGGTTTGAAATCCAGACTAATCCACGCCTGATTCATTTTCACAAACGTGAGTCTCTCCACACCATTGGTGGACAGTCGTGTCCTCCGCGGAGTTACAATACCTCCTGCCGCACTAAACACGCGCTCCGATGCCACGCTACTGGCCGGGCATGACAGCCTTTCAAGGGCAAATTCAGCTAGTTGGGGCCAAAGGTCAAGTTTCGTTGCCCAGTAGTCAAGGGGATTGTCTACCTCGGTTGGCAGGGTGCTGTCCAAGTAGGCCCAAGCCTGTTGTTTGAGGTCCTGCTCCAGGTCACCTGATGCTGCTGCTGCTGCTGCGGCACGTTAGTAGTTTCCTTACTGCGCTGGTGAAGAAAGTTACTCATCATCGACTGCAGACTGAGGCAGCCGCTGCTGGTGGAGCTGCCACTGCTCCTACCACCCCACCCCTCCCCTGCTGCCATGGCAGCGGAACGCGAGCGCACAGGGGCCCACAGTGTCTGAGGATGGACGTTGGCGCAGAAAGGCAGAGACCAACTGACTACATAGGGGGTTTTTTTGTAGTACGTTATTTTGGCCTCCCTCTCAGCAGGTGTGAAAAAGGACACCATTTTTGAACGGTAGCGAGGGTCCAACAAGGTGGACAGCCAAAAGTCATCCCTCTGTCTGATGGTTATTATTCGGCTGTCGCTACACAAAGCAACCGAGCATGCTATGGGCCATTTGTGCCAAGGAATGCGAGGGACTTTCCCTGCCTCCATCTCCACAGCATACTGCCACGGTGCGTCTGGTGTCCTCTGTCTCCTCCTCCTCCTCCTCTACCAGATGCTCCTGCTCCTCCACACCTGTCCGCTGAGTGGAAAAACCACCCATTTCACTCAATAATTCCTGAGCACCAATGTCCTCCTCTACCTCCTCCTCTTCTTCCAGTTTGCTGCCCCCACAGGGGTCATGTGGCGTTGAGATCTGTGCACCACGTCTACCGCACCCTGACCAGCCATTGTTACTAGCATTTGTTCCAGGACGTGCAACAGAGGAATGACTCACGAATAGCGTGGCCTCCTCAAAGGGCCTGAGGTAAGTGGCAGGTGTGGCACGCATGAGCTGCCAATGGCTGAAGAATCGAAGTTACACACATCTTACCTTTATCCGCTTGTAACATCAGGAAATCGGTGATGGCCTTTCGCTGTTTGTAAAGGCGGTCTAACATGTGTAGGGTTGAATTCCACCTTGTTGCAAAATGTCGCAGATCAGGCGATGCTGTGGCCGTTCTGCCGCTGGAGCTCAAGGAGGGTGTGCTTTGCGGTGTAGGAATGGCTGAAATGCATGCAAAGTTTACGTGACATGTGAATGCAGGGCTGGCACTGCCTTTTTGGCAAAGAAATGACGGCTTGGCACTCTCCACCGCGGTGTGGCACAAGCCATCATTTCTCGGAAAGGTGCTGAGTCCACCACTTGGAAAGGGAGGGACTGCAGCACCAGCAACTTGGACAGGAGGACGTTCAGCTTTTGCACCGTCGGGTGCGTGCTCGCAAACTGTTGTCTCTTGGAAACGGATTCCAAGAAAGACTGCTGACAGAATCCGTGAAGAGGAGTAGCAGGAGAAGGAGCATCAGAACGAGCGGAAGATGCCAATGAGCGACAACTCCCCTCAGCAGAGGTGTTGGAGCCTTGACTGGCTGATAGAGGGCGATTGACGTCGGGTGACGGAGCAAGTAACGGAGCGGGTGATGGAGCGGGTGCTGGGGCGGGCAGAACCGCCGTATCTTTATCACGGTTTTCCCAGGCCACCAAATGGCGACGCTGCATATGCTGCCGCAACGCTGTAGTCCCAACATGGGCCCCCTGGCCACGCTTGACTTTCTGGCCACATAGTCGACATACGGCTACGTTTACTTCCTCGGGCGGCTTGACAAAAAATTGCCACACCGCCGAGTAGGAAACTTTGCCCCCGATACTCCTCACTGGCTGACTGCTGCTTCCTCCGTGCACACCGGCACCACTACTGGCCGTGGTGGTAGGCTGCAGTGGAGCTGGTGCTCTACTCCGTGGCCGTTTGCCTCCACTGACACTGCTGCGACCCTGCTGCCTCCTGGGCAACCCACCGACTGTTTTGCTCGCTGCCAAGCTGGCACCCTCTTCTCCTGATGATGCGGAAGCAATAGCCTGATGACGACGAGGCTGCCAAGTGCGATCAGCCTCATCATCATCAATTAGGGTCTCCGCCTCACTACTAGCCCCCTCGGCTGCGTGTGGGTCAGGAGACAGACCTGTCTCTAGACCGGCTACCGAGCCACTCTCCTCGCCACTACTTCTTCGCCTGGCTGCTGAAGAGGCGGATGTCTCCCCCCGTTCCTGACCGCCCTCTGTTAGCTCTTCCTCACTGTACAGTGGGGCTGAGCCCACAGCATACGATACTTTGCTTGGTGAGGGAACACCAAAGGACAGGGGCAGGTCGAGGACACGTGATTTCAGTGGGCTTGCTCCCGGGCCATGCCAACTAACGGTTGTGTCTGACGTACCCACCGACCGTTGGCTGTAGGTGTCAGAGGTGACCTGGGAAGAGGAAGACGACCGAGCCAACCAATCGATGACGGCAGGGTTGTCGGTGGAGACACGACCGCTGGATGACACCGGGAGCACTGGCCTCTGGCTGCGACTAGTGCTGCCTCGACCCCTTCCTCTGCTGCCACGTCTGCTTGCTCCTAAAACATTGCCTCCTCTGCCACTCCTATGCATGTTGTCTGACATACTCTTTAATTAAACGAATTCTGTGTCCCTGAGTAACAATTCTGTGTCTGTCCCTGAGTAACAATTCTGTGTCTGTCAGTAACAATTCTGTGTCCCTTAGTAACAATTCTGTGTCCCTCAGTAACAATTCTGTGTCCCTCAGTAACAATTCTGTGTCTGTCCCTGAGTAACAATTCTGTGTCTGTCGCTGAGTAACAATTCTGTGTCCCTCAGTAACAATTCTGTGTCCCTGAGTAACAATTCTGTGTCTGTCCCTGAGTAACAATTCTGTGTCCCTCAGTAACAATTCTGTGTCCCTCAGTAACAATTCTGTGTCCCTCAGTAACAATTCTGTGTCCCTCAGTAACAATTCTGTGTCCCTCAGTAACAATTCTGTGTCTGTCCCTGAGTAACAATTCTGTGTCTGTCGCTGAGTAACAATTCTGTGTCCCTCAGTAACAATTCTGTGGCCCTAAGTAACGTTTCTGTGGCCCTAAGTAACGATTCTGTGGCCCTAAGTAACGTTTCTGTGTTTCTGCCCTAAGTAACATTTCTGTGGCCCTAAGTAACATTTCTGTGGCCCTAAGTAACATTTCTGTGGCCCTAAGTAACGATTCTGTGGCCCTAAGTAACGTTTCTGTGGCCCTAAGTAACGATTCTGTGGCCCTAAGTAACGATTCTGTGGCCCTAAGTAACGTTTCTGTGGCCCTAAGTAACATTTCTGTGGCCCTAAGTAACATTTCTGTGGCCCTAAGTAACGATTCTGTGGCCCTAAGTAACGATTCTGTGGCCCTAAGTAACGTTTCTGTGTCCCTAAGTAACGTTTTTGTGTCCCTAAGTAACGTTTCTGTGGCCCTAAGTAACGTTTCTGTGTCCCTAAGTAACGTTTCTGTGGCCCTAAGTAACGTTTCTGTGTCCCTAACTAACGTTTCTATGTCCCTAAGTAACGTTTCTGTGTCCCTAACTCTCTCCCTGAATACAGCCAGGTCTGCCTCTGTTGAATGACTGGAGGCAAATGGAGAATTCTAAAATGGCCGCCATTTATAGCTCGACCATTACACAGTGCTGGCTGGCTGGCTGCTGATTGGCTAATGCGATCACATGTCATGAATGAATGCATTATGGGTCAGCGCGCCTTGTCTGCGCGCCTTCCCAGACATCCCCGCTCCGTCGCCGCACATGTCGCCGCCATTTTAGGAAAAATTTCGATTCGCGCATCTCAAAATTTTTCTAATATTCGAAGCGAATTCCACTTCGCCTACTTCGATTCGCTCATCTCTACTTATGACACACAAATCTGTCTTTCTACCCCTCACCTCACCCCTTCAGTCTCCTCTCGCATCACTAGCCTACTAAGTGATATATCGGCATGGATGTCACTCCACTTCCTCAAACTCAATCTCTCCAAAACTGAGCTCTTAGTATTCCCCCCAGCTCATGCCCCCTCCCCTGACTTCTCCATCAAGATCAATAACACAATCATCTTTCCTTTCCCTCATGCCAGGATACTAGGTGTAATCCTAGACTCCCATCTGTCCTTTCAGCCCCAAATCCAGACTTCACCTCCGCAACATTTCCAAGATACGCCCGTTCCTATCCTCAGAAACCACTAAGCAACTTATCCACTCCTGTCAGGGCTCCAGGTATGACCAGAGATGTGTGGACCGACACAGGGAAACACAGACTTCAGGTATAGCGTATAAAACAACATAATTTATTAAGGGCAACACAAACATAAACGCAGTGCAACAAACCAAACCCAAAACTAACACAAATACATACAACAAGGTGCAACAAACCCAAACCTTAACTGATATATATAATATGGAGCACAACATAGTCAGGCGGGCCGGGTCGGTAGCTAACGGGCAGACAAGGTACAAGGAGTGGGCAGAAGATTGGTCAGGAGTAGCCAAGGTCGGTGCAGGCAGAGTTCAAGCAGAGTCAGGATCAAGCAGAGTCAGGATCAGGCAGGAAGCAGACAGGATGCAGGTACAGGGGCTCATGGGAACAATACACTAAGGCCCTGACTGCAGGCCTGGCCATTCCTTAAATACACCTCCTGCAATCAGCCTCAGGTGATGGCTTGAATACAGGAGTGAGCTTCTGGCTGCTGAGAGCACCCGCTGGCCAGCCCTGGTACTGCAGCCCACAAGGCAGGTGAGTCCCACCACCATTGGCGAGTCCATTCCTGACAACTCCCTTGTTATATCTCGCCTTGACTATTGTAACTCCCTCGTCATTGGCCTACCTCATTGCAGGCTATCCCCTCTTCATGTTTATCATGAATGCTGTTGCCAGAATCATCCACCTTACTAACCGTTCTGTATCTGCCATCCCTCTCTGCCAATCCCTCCACTGGCTTCCCATTGCCCAACGGATAAAATTCAAAACAATAACAATAACTAGCCCCTCCCTCCTAGATTGTAAACTCCAAGGAGCAGGGCCCCCAAATCCCTCTTGTATTGAACTGTATTGTTTCCCGTTATATTGTAAAGCGCTGAGCAAACTGTTGGCGCTATATAAATCCTGCATAATAATAAAATAGCACCAAAGACATGCATGCATCAATTTTGGAACTGAACTGCAATCATTTTGCATGGTCATTTTGTAAATGCGATCCAGTGCATGCAAACGCATTGTGTTTGCATTTAGGGTGTTGTTAGGATAGCAGTGACACCCACTGCAAATCGCAAGGGCAGTGCGAATTGAATGCGGTGCATGAAACGTACACGGATCAAGGGTTTTCCATAACGCATTCTTTTTTTTTCGTATAATCTCTTTTTATTAAAATACATTTTCAAACATAATGCAAAGAAAGTACAAGATATAGAACAGAAACAGATACAGAGACAAACATGCTGTAGTCATATAGCCATATGCTGTGTAGCCACGTGCCTGGCTACATCAGGTACAGGCATTCAATAGACCATATAAGGGCCCCAGTGGCCATGGAGGAGCTATGTCTCTGCATATGACCAGTAGGCTCCCAAATGGAAATTGGTTGTGTCTTTTCAAAATCACCTTAATAAGATAATAACTAACGTGTTTGATGACATTGAAAAATGGGACACACATAAAAAATGAGTCGGGGTATAGGCATGGGAAGCAAATGAAAAAACATCCTGTACAACAAGCAGATATACTGACAGGTTTGCAGGAGACCTGCATGGCATCAGCGTTCTACTGATCGTTGATGTAATCCTTTCCAGGCTCCTTTGGATAAAAATAATAAATGCACATTTTTTACCTGCAGAAAAATGTGCATTTATTATTTTTGTCCAAAAGGTGAACTCATCCTTTAAGGTTGTAAATGAGCTATATTAAGACTGGAAAGCTGCAGCAATGCGATCTGAGTCTACCGCTGTTTGTTCTGAACAGTCAGATTATAGACATGGGAAAGTACCTGCCTTTTATGGAGGAAGCGGGCAAGAACACGGCCGCATGTATTCCCATGTTCACAAAATCTATGAGCATAGTAGCGTAGTTTATTCTGGCCTTCCTTTCAAGGCACTCAGATAATCTGGACCGCAGTTCCGTCAACTGTGTTAAGTCAGATGGTTGTAAGCGACGTTTATGTGTCTGTTAAAGTAAGCAGATTTTAGTTACCAGATCGTCAATTTCCTCACATTTGGCTTTTTTGATTCTAGAACCATGGGCAATCAAGACTACCCTTATCACCGCCTTATGTCCCTCCCATAGTGCTCACGTGGATACCTCATCAGTGGAATTTAATTGAAAATATGTGTCGATGGAGGATTCAATGGAGATACGAGTGGTATTGTCATCTAGTAGGGATTCGTTCAAAGGCCAGGTCCAATCAGGTCTATGTGTAGTGTATAGAGTCAAAATTAACCTCCCTAGCTGTCTGATTATGTCCATATTTCTGTGCTCAAAGCAGTAACTTTTTTTGCATGGAAATATGTATTTTTTTTATTGTAGGCCTGTAATTTTAGGAATAACTCACTGAAATCTGTCCGAACAAGAGTCTAGTAAACATCCCTGGTCTGTTAAAATTTGAAACACAAAATCATAAATTATAATTTAATAAATAATCATAAAAAATAATAATATAATAATATATTTCATTCAATAATATAATCAAACCAAAAACACTGAAATTTGAAATATAGCGCCAAGTTTGCACATCACTGAGCAAAGTCGCAAAATCGTTTTCAGTGTCTGATGACGAATTTCCCCATGAATCATTAGAACTACTTTCAGAATTGAGTGATAATTTACTATTGCTGTTCTCTAGGTGGTCTAAAACCGATTTTGACCTAAAGGGACGCTTTTTGGACGCCATGGACGTTTCTCAGTTTCCAGGCAGAAAGAACAGTAAAAATGTAGGCAGGGCACAAAACAAAGCACGAAGGACAAAATGTATGTGAAATGGTTTGATACAGTAATATTTTACTATGTTATTTTAGTGAATTTAGTGAATGTCACTTTTTGTCATTTTCAAATTTTCCGCCAGTTCCGTCCCCATACGTTCTGACGTCGCAGGGGACAGAACCCAGAAGACAGATGCTGGTATCCGCCAGAGGACATTACAGGGAACACTGCAAGAGGGACATCGCGGGAGGACAAAGTAAGAGAAGAAGAGATCCCGCATGGTAAGCCCGAGTGTAGCACGGGGTTATCGCTTGTGGTACTGAAACTTTACCCCAAGCTACACTCGGGAATACCGCCAGGGAGGCTACAGAGACCGGGGCTTGATCCGATCTAGTTATTGGTCCAATGTCTGTGTTGGTAAGCCTGTGAAGGTAATATTGGTCTATATAGAGAAGATCAATCTGCGAATAGGAATTATGGACATGATAACTGTAATCTTTAGTAGAAGGGTGATCCATCCTCCAAAAATCCACTAAGTGGTGGTCTGGTAAAAGTGTGCGAAAATGTTTAAGGGCTCTAAAGAAAATGACAATTCCCCTGACAAGGTGTCCGGTTGAGGGTCAGGAGGGAAATTAAAGTCCCCCTCAAGCAAGAAGCCCCCCCCCCATTAAATTCAAGAAGTCTTTTCATTACTGTGGAGAGGAAATCAATAGTGTGAGTCTTAGGCGCGTAAGTGTTGGCTGTGGTATACATCTCATTATTAATAGTGCCCTTAAGAAACAGGTATCTGCCCTCTTTGTCTGCAACATGGGTGAGTGGGACAAAAGAGCACAATTTGTGGATGGCTAATGCTACTCCCCTTGCTTTAGATATAGGAGATGGACACAAGAACCATTGATTAAATACAGACTGTGGGAGGGTATGTGTGGTAGTCACCATGAAGTAGGTCTCCTGGAGAAGTAGAACAGTTGGATTCAAGTTCTTGCACAGTCTCCCACGTTTAGGCGGTGAACACATGCCATGAACATTATAGGAAATCATCGAGAATTTGGACCCCATAACGCTAAACAAGAAGGGAGACTAAAATTTTTACCACAAGAGACCCAGCACGGGGAGCACCGCACTATAGTATGTGACATAAATCACATGTAATGTAACAGATCTCCACCTGTACCCGTGAGCTAGCAGAAACAACAGTAAATAAACAAAATAAGTTTTAAACAAAGAGAGAACAGTAAACCGGTAAGAAATCGCCAGCGGCAAACATCAGAAGTGGAAGAACTGGTGCACAGCAGGGCCCCCCGTAGACTGTAAACTACAGTAAAATCTCTGGCTAATGGAGATAAACCTATTTGTGGGAGGTAGTTAGCCATGGATAGGAGGCAGAAGTCCTACCTAGCGCTACGATTCATAAGAAAGCAGGATCAGGGAGATCATTTCTAATGGGAGCAAACAACTAACAGCAGTGGTGTTGAAGTAGGAGTTCCCCAGTGGTCTCCAACGAAAGAATGCCCGAGGCCAGAAAATAGAGGGCCATATTCATCACCAGTACAAGGGACATCTGAGTGGAACATCAAAAGAATCTGCACTTGCTCATGTTGGCACTAAAAGAAAGAGTAAACAGTAGGTTCACCAGCAGAGCCTCAGGGGAAGCTCCCATAGGGCAGTTTGCAGTGTCAAAGCTCCTAACAACCAAGGTGTGATCAAACCAAGAGAGCACAGATTAGCAGATGAAAGTATCAGAGAGGCCGCATTAGGAGGTTGTCAGGGATCTTGTGAAGGATAGGTTGAGGACATGCTCCTCCATTGGCGTTGACGTCGGCGACATCGGCGAGTGGGGACCTGATCTTGCGTGTGGGTGTCTCAGGTAGGCCTCTGATCCGTATACAGTATTCTGCCGTCGTTCACGGTTTTCATAGTCATCCAACTGTAGCAAAAGGGATTCAATCATAGCATTGTGTGTACAAGAAATGTTTCCTAGTTTGGACATCGTGTGAGCCAGGTCCTCGTTAGTGATTTCTAAAGTGTCCACCCAGTGTCCTATAGCTACATTTTTAGCCCACACTTTGCCTAAAGCCTCTTTAATGAAGATTCCACAGTGGAAATCAGTTGTCCCATATCAGCTTTATTGGGAATGGCTCTGATGTGCTCTCTAATGTCCCAGTCCCCTGCAAGATCATCTATCACAGAGCCTGCCACTGAGTGTTCTGTAGAGGTTTGTGAAGGAGTGGGACTTGTGCAGCGTACCTGGGTAGAGCTGGCAGCTTCACTGTGGTTGGAGGCAGTGGCTGGCGAGGAGGCTGGGGACACAAGGTGGTCCCATGCCATCTTAGATTCCTCATGTTGCTGTCCCAGGGCCCTGGCAAAGTAGGAATCCAGGGCTCCAGAATGGGCATGTGGGGTCCGGGTGGGTGTTGAAGATGCCCGCTGTTTCCCTGGCATTGTAGCTATAGTAGGTCGATCCCCACTCTCTATACAGTGGTTAGCAGCCCTGGGTGTCCTCACACTTGTATGGCCATGGTACCATCATGCACCTCCTAAGCAGCAGTATGTTTTTCTCTATGAGTGGAGGAAGGCATACCATTTCGCACCCGCTCAGATGTGAATCTAGCTTAAAGAAAAGTCAGTGTATTCCTGGCTGGTAATATTTCAGTTGATGTTTTTTTTTTTTCTGTGACTAATTGAAAATTAAGCACGTAATGTCATGAATGCAAGGTGTAATTCTCAATAGCTGTTCTTATTCTGTATGTATGGACATTTTTATTTGTAAAAACAAACAGAAATACATAGTAACAAAACTGTAAACGTCCTAAAAAAATACATGAAAATAATACAAATGTAAATAAATAGAATTTCTATGCTAAAAATAAATTCCATCCCATAATTTTATATTCCTCCAATATTTCTTAAGCGCTAAACTCTTTATCCATCTCAACTCTGAGAGGACTACATCTGTATCCTAAAAAGGAAGAGCTCATTGTGCATAGCTACTTTTGTTCGTGTCAGTAATAATATTTGACCACAGTAATGATAATATACATAGTTCCTTTTTCCACATTGTGTATTGTTGGGGGAACGCCATAAAGCCTATCTGAGCAGCTCAGGTTTCCCAGCCTTTGGATTCTAATTCTGTCAGCTACTTCCTTACAGACTTCACAGCTTCCCCAACAATTCACCAAAAAATATGCCATGGCTCCTCCTGCTTGCAGCCCAAAGGACAGATTAAGCTCTCCTCCAAAGCAGCTGTAGTGCAGTCCCTGAGTACAAGTGGAGAACAGAAAACAGTCCTAGAGATCCTCTGATATAACAGTTTCCCTGGGCTACTTTCAAGGTAGGACTTTTCAATCCCCCATCTTATCACGTAGCTGGTGTTGGAGGCCAATGGAGAGAGGGCTTCCCTTGCAGCTAAGTTCCAGACTCCCCTGGATATGGGACAGCAGGAGTTGGGCCCAAAGTAGCACAGGTCGCCTGTAGAAGTGCTGGTCAGAGGTACAGCCCAGAGCACAGCTGATGCACTGGAATGGAGTCTGCAGACAGCCTGTGAGAGGTATGCATGCCTTCAGGGAAACAGAGGACCGCAGAGTAGTTGGTTCAAAGCCATGTTCAAGTGCCAGGTGGAGATTGGAGCAGACGTAGTCAGTAGAGTAGCCAGGGTCATACACAGAGGAGCGGGAGAGAATATCCATTAGCCAAGCCAGGGTCAGGTCAGGAGTCAGGCAGACTAGACAGGTCCAAGAGCAAGCCGGGTCGGTAACAGGAAATCACTAAAGCAAGGATCACAGACAATGGTACTGGGGAGCCAGAGATCAACCAGCAACTTGAGGGAGTGATGAGGCTCCTTATAAAGGCCATCTGGTGCCAAACTGGGCCTATGCGTGCGCAACTATGCGCCAGTGTGCATGCGTGTTCTGGCTTGCGTCCATGCGCAATGCGCATGGATCTTCGCCAACGTGCACTTCTGTAGCCATGCAGGGTACTGGCAGGAGTGCCAGGTCTTCTAGAACTTCTGCTGTGGACAGAACCCTGACACATCTCTTCAGAGACTTCAGAGCTGAATCCAGATATGGTGGGAGGTAACCCTGAGTACATCTCTTCCCCTAACACTGCTTACCCACAGAGGACCACCTCTGGAGTCCAAGCACCCAAAATTAACATTCAAAAACAAAGAATTAATATTATTATACAGTATTATAAAGCACCAACAGTTCGCTCAGCTCTGTACAAAGAATCACAAAACACCCTAGGATTTATCATATTCAACCTATCCACCTTTGTCTGCAGGTAATTAACCCCCCCGTTTTATTGGGTTTAGTCAGAATAGATGAAAAAAACAGACTGAGCTGCCTAGCAGAGAAAGATTCTGGCAAGGAAAAACCATAGAGACATACAGAAAGTAGTGATGGGCTGAACACCCCCCCCCCCATTCGGTACGCAGTCGAATTTTCGAATGTACTGAAAGTTCGACTGCAGACTTCGAACAGGGATAATTTACTGAACAGCATCTTACCGCATCTGAGTATATGGTAAGATACCGCTCAGATACTAAAATACTGCATGAGTTATATTATTAAGTTATGCGGTATATTAGTAGTGAAATATTCATTCATGTTTCAGCTATCAGTGGGATTCCCTGCTGACAGTTGAATGTCAAAAAATGTCGGCACTGCCCAACAATTTAAAAAAAAAAAAAAAAAAAAAATGGCATGGGGTCCCCTCCTCCCATCCATACCAAGCCCTTCGGGTCTGGTATGGATTTTAAGGGGAACCTCCCCCAGGCCAAATAGTTTTTTTAAGAATAGCATGGGCCCCCCAAAATCCATACCGGACCCTTATTTTGTGAATTTTCCATTCACAAAAAAAAGTGCAGTGTAAAAAAAAAGATAGGAGACAGTTTTTGACAAGTCCTTTATTAAAAATAAAAATTAAAAAAATGTCTCCTGAAGTGATCCAATGTCAAATATGATGACCGCTGCCACTGCAGACCCGAAAAAAAAAAAAAAAAATTGCTTCGCCCTTGACTCTGGCTCTCGCCATCTGACAGCTACTCCACGATGACAGTCCTTAAATAGGGTGATTACATCACAGGGGGCGGAATCACCCCCATCCCCTTGTGACGTCACCATGCTCTGTGATTGGCCAAAGCATTGCACCTAACATTGGCCAATCACAATGCACTGTCAACGAACACACGAATGGCCTATGTTCAACTCGAACATGCAGCCCATCACTAACAGAAAGATAGGAACCAAGTAAGTCTTCAACATTGTGACCCTTTCTCTGTAGGTCAGCTTGCAATTCTTCCATCGCTGAACCTTTGCATTTGCAGCATCCAATTTCTCCTCCCAATTTAGTCTGGCGTTAGTTTACC